AGCAAGCACACCTTAGGCCAAGAACCCTGATCGAGTCCTTGGTGGTGACTGACCTTTCTCAGGAAAGTGCAGCTTTGTTGACAATCATGGACGTTCTCAAGGAGATGGGGTCTGTACTCTCTATAAAAAGCAAGGAGGCCAGGTGCGGTGGCTCATGCCTGTAATCCCAGCACTTTGGGAGGCCAAGGCAGGAGGATCACTTGAGGCCAGGAGTTCCAGACCAGCCTGGCCACCATGGTGAAACCCCATCTCTACCAAAAATACAAAAATTAGCTGGGCATGATGGTGCTCACCTATAATCCCAGCTACTTGGGAGGCTGAGGCAGGGGAACCGCTTGAACCTGGGAGGCAGAGGTGGCAGTGAGCCAGGATCATGCCACTGCACTCCAGCCTGGGCAACAGAGCGAGACTCTGTCTCAAAAAAAAAAAAAAGAAAAAAAGAAAGGAGATTCTAAAGTTGATTTGTAGTACACTGTCTCCAGATCAACAAACCAGGAGGCTGGCAAAGTTATCTGAAGAATTTGGGCAGAAAGATATTTATCTGTATCACTAAAAAAAAACACACAAAAAACCAGCCAGGTGCTGTGGCTCACGCCTGTAATCCCAGCACTTTGGGAGGCCAAGGCAGATGAATTGTTTGAATCCAGGAGTTCAAACAGACTGGGCAACATGGCGAAACCCCATCTCTACTAAAAATGCAAAAATTCAACTGGGCATGGTGATGCGCGCCTGTAGTCCCAGTTACTCAGGAGCCTGAGGAGGGAGGATCACTGCGCCTGTAGTCCCAGGTACTCAGGAGTCTGAGGAGGGAGGATCACTTGAACCCGGGAGGCAGAGGTTGCAATGAGCCATGATCACGCCACTGCACTCCAGCCTGGGTGACAGAGGGAGACTCTTTCTCAAAAAATAAAAATAAGAAAAATAAGAAATCAAAGATTTGTTCAGAAATTTGTAAAGTAGGATACGCTGGTTAAGCACTTACTATGTATCAAGTGCTTAACCAGTGTAACCTATTTTACATTGTGTAACCAATGCATGCATTGTCATTTAATTCTTTTCTTTTTCTTTTTCTTTTTTTTTTTTTTTTTTTTTTTTGAGATAGAGTCTTGATCTATTGCCTAGGCTGGAGTGCAGTGGCACAATCTCAGCTCACTGCAACCTCTGCCTCCCGGGTTCAAGCAATTCTCCTGCCTCAGCCTCCTGAGTAGCTGGGATTACAGGCACCAGGCACCACACCCAGCTAATTTTTGTATTTTTAGTGGACACGGGGTTTCTCCATGTTGGCCAGGCTGGTCTTGAACTCCTGACTTCAAGTGATCTGCCCGTCTTGGTCTCCCAAAGTGCTGGGATTACAGGCATGTGCCACCATGGCTGGCTAATTTTTTGGTATTTTTAGTAGGGACAGTGTTTCACCATGTTGGCCAGGCTGGTCTCAAACTCCTGACCTCAGGCAATCCTCCCACCTCAGCCTCCCAAAGTGCTGGGATTACAGGTATGAGCCACTGCACCTGGCCATAATTCTTAAAACACCTCTACTATATAGAGATTATTACATATTACAAATAGGGAAACTGAGGCATAGATAAAGTAACTTGTCCAAGGCCACACAGTTAGTTAGGGAATAGGGATTCCAACCCAATCTCTGACTACAGAACTCTCAACCACTAAGCTGCACTTTTCAGGCAACCACCTGTCTCAGATTCACTCTGATCGTAGGGAAATGAGTATGAATCTATACTCAAAGGTATTGTTACCTTTTTCCTCACAATACTATCATCCAAGAGGATTAGCTCTGTGTCCAGCTTACCACTCTCCCACTCTGCGTCACCTTCCTGTCAGCATATCAAAAACCACGCTACCTGCCGATTCTATGCTTTAAGAGTCTACAGAACTGGCCGGGCGCGGTGGCTCAAGCCTGTAATCCCAGCACTTTGGGAGGCCGAGACGGGCGGATCACAAGGTCAGGAGATCGAGACCATCCTGGCTAACATGGTGAAACCCCGTCTCTACTAAAAATACAAAAAACTAGCTGGGCGAGGTGGCGGGCGCCTGTAGTCCCAGCTACTCGGGAGGCTGAGGCAGGAGAATGGCGTAAACCCGGGAGGCGGAGCTTGCAGTGAGCTGAGATCCGGCCACTGCACTCCAGCCTGGGCGACAGAGCGAGACTCCGTCTCCAAAAAAAAAAAAAAAAAAAAAGAGTCTACAGAACTGGATGCTGATGGTGACAAAGTCTGTCAATAGAGCTCAAGCAGTGGTCCTCATTCAGGGGCGATTGTGGCCCGCAGGGGACATTTGGCTATTTTTGGCCATCACAACTTAGGTGGGAGTGGGGAGGGGAGCTACTGGGTAGCAGCCAGGGATGCTGCTAAACATCCTATAATGCACAGGCAGCTCTCCCACCCACCCCTCAGTCTGGCCCAAAATGTCAATAGTGTTGAGGTTGAAAAACTCTGAGCTAAAAAAAATCAGTAATGCTCATCAGTCCTCGTCCACAGCCCGGCCCAGGATGAAGCATGGCGGACACTAGTCATGAGACAGTATCAGATGGGTTAGCTCTTCTGGGAGGAGAGATGCTGCTGCTTGCACTTGGACTTTTTCCATCCAGCTAATTAACACATTTACGGATTGCCTGAACTGACAGCCTCCTTTCCCCAGACAAACAGCATGCGAATAAGCCTTTCCAAAATCAAAATACTGTCCTGACAAACTAAGGGAGTGATTGATTCAGCAAGGTGAGTGTTTCTGCTGTGCATGGGGCAAAGGCGCAGGACCTACTCTAGAGGCAGGCAATGGGGTGGCATGCCCAGAGTGAAGCATGGCATTAGTAAGGGCAAGGGGGCATGGGCAGAGAAAGGCAGGAGAGATCATTACCATCCAACGGGGAGGAGCGGAACTTTAAAACTGGTCAGGGAATCCTGTTGGCTTCACCCGCTGATTATTTTAGCAAGCAATGAGATCATGGTCTGCAAGAACAGAGCTAAAGAGCTGGGAGCTATAACCAGATACTGCCGCAAATAAAGTCAGCTCCAGTATAGAAAGGAACACAAGGCATGGGCTGCATTGGATTCACCCAAGGTTCAAGGTCAGAGTTGTGCCATGAAGGCACCAGTGGAGTTGGGGGAAGGCAGACACACCTGGTTTTGAACTCCAGCTTTGAAACACTTCCACCATGTGCAGGCAGAAAACACTTTCTCTGAGACTTCATTTCTCATCTGTAGAGCGGGAGTAGTAATAAGAGTCACTATGCAGGGCCGTCCTGAGAAGTAAAGGGTGTGACGTGTGTGATCCAGCGCTTGGATAGGGGCCTGTGCACAAAATTGGTCTGGAACAAGAGCCAAGTGGTCCCTCCTGCTCCCCTCCTCCCTTTCCTTGCATATGGTTTTCCTAGGTGCCTGGCTGCCAGAGGAACTGCTCCCGGGGCTGAGTCCTGCGATCCCAAGAGAGGCTTTTTATTAAGTAGAATTTACACTGACAACCCGTTCTCTCGGATATGTCCAGAGAGCAAACTCACCTCCAACAAGCATACTTAACTTTTCTAGAGCCCAGAAAATCACTTTTTGAAATACTTATTATGAACCTGGGGTCCCTAGAGGCAGATTTACCATGAAGTTAATGAAAACGAAACTTCAGGCTTCTCACTTCACCCGCCCCCACAGGGAGGCTCAAGCCAGGGCCCCAGCAGCCTGTGCATATGGTCACTCACGTTATAAACTCTGCAATGGTAAGATGCTTAGTTGCTTCAGATCGCTGCCTCTTTCCACCTTGACTTCCATTTGGCCACATTTCCTCTCCTTTTGCGTGGCTTTGGAATGACCCTGGGCATTTTGAGGACCTAGCTAAAGAATCCAAGTTAGAGCTACCTTTAGTTTTGGGTTGATTACGATATATTGATACAGTCAATTTCTTTCTTTCTTCTGAGACAGGGTATCGCTCTATCACTGGACTGAATGCAGCGGTGTGATCAGGGCTCACTGCAGCCTAGACCTCCTGGGTGCAAGCAATCCTCTGGCCTCAGTCTCCCAAGTAGCTGGGACTATAGGCATGTACCACCACACCCAACTACTTTTTAGATTTTTTTTGTAGAGATGGGGTTTTGCCATGCTGCCCAGGCTGGTCTCAAACTCCTGGGTTCGATCAGTCTGCCCACCTCTGTCTCCCAAAGTGCTGGGATGACAGGCACGAGCCACTGCACCTGGTTGATGCAGTCACTTTTGTATCGCCAAGCTACTGCTTAGAAAAGGTTTCCAGGGATATTCCTACGTACCGACTTAGCTGGCATGGAGTTGCGAAGGCTCAGACTCAAGCATCATATCATGATATGTGCATGTTCCCAGAGCAAGGGAGGGAGCAAGATGTGAAACAGGGTCCTACACGAGTCTGGGCAAAGCTTTCCAATCATCAAAGTTGTACAATTGTAGATACACTTAAACGGATCACTGGTCAAGATAAAAGTTCTCACCTTTCAGGAACGTAAGAGGCCATCAATGAGTATCTGCCCCAAAATGTGGGATGGAAAGCATTTTAGAGTTATGTTAGTCAGTTAATTATATGTTTTTCTAAATTTAGTGATACTTTAATACCTAATTTTGTATGTATAAGTTAATATTCTCTTCCTTCCAAATTGCATAAGCTTCAGGACCTATGAAACCTAGATTCACCCCTTTGGCTCACATACTCTTATTTTAGCTTATTTAGCTTTTTATCATTATTATTATTATTATTAATTAAAACTGATTTTAGCTTTTTTTTTTTTTTTTTGAGACGGAGTTCCACTCTGTCACACAGGCTAGAGTGCAGTGGCGCAATCTCAGCTCACTGCAACCTCTGCCGGTTGGAGCAATTCTCTTGCCTCAACCTCCCGAGTAGCTAGGATTACAGGCACACACCACCATGCCCGGATAATTGTTTTGTATTTTTAGTGGAGACGGGGCTTCACCATGTTGGCCAGACTGGTCTTGAACTCCTGATCTCAGCCTCCCAAAGTGCTGGGATTACAGGCGTATTTTAGCTTTTTGAAGAGGGTAAGATGGAGAAAAAGATGAAGAGGGAGAAAACCAAACTTCCTAATTAAACTTCATGAAACAGTTATATTTCAGTGACACAGTGAAATTCTTTGTATGTTTGTTCTTTCTGAAAAGAGCTAAATGAAATAGGATTAAGACTCCAGACTACACCAGTAGATTTTCTTGTAAGGCTGCATCTGTACTGCAGTGTTTGGGTAAAGTACTTTCTGTGCAATGTGAAATAAAACACACCTAGATTTTTAAAAAAATGCTGTCAACTTTCTGCTAAAGCCTTTTATCTGTACTTTACCTTCCCCTTCCCTCCAGCAGATTCCAGATTCTTCATTGACACCCACTATTGTCACTTCCACACCAAATTAAACAAACTCAGTTCGATCATTGCAGTTTTTGAAAGCACGAAGTAACACTATACAAGTTAGAGAAAGTGAAATAACTTCTTTCTAAATTCAAACGGCTGATCAAGGAAACATTCAGGTAGGCAGAGCCCTTACGGTTTCTGTTCTTACCACAGAAAAACCTAAAGGAGCCACATTCTGGATGTTGTTTTTCATGTTAACAAAAAGTCCAGACGGACCCCATGGCTCACAGTGCTTCTTCTCACCCCTCACCTCTCCCCAAACCCCATCAACCCAGAAGCATTAATTTCATAAGGAAGAGAAATTTTGGCTTTCTACTAAATTCAGCTCTGAATTCAGCCCTCCATTTCCCAAGGGCTAGGACCCACAGCCAAGTCAGCCCACCCCTCCCTCTCGCTCCCAGGCCTGAGCTGGGGATGCTGCAGCCCAGGACTCCTCCAGGTTTGGAAAAGGCGGCTAGGCTGGGCGAGTTTGGAAAGTTCTGGGAGAAGAGCGAAAGGAGGGAGTGTGTGTTGGCTCTTTTCCTTTGCTTGGAAAGCACTTAACAAGAATGACACCCTACCCCCCACATCAAATGCCTTCTCTTGCAGTCCTGTTTGTTTTCTGAAAACTGAGTTCGTGTCTTTAAAGCCGGGATTTTCTCCCTGGTAGTAAGCATTGGCTAATGATTACCAGTCGGCTTCTGCCTCTGAGTGCCATGTGACCTCGACACGTGACTTGGAGCCGGCTGTGGTTGTTACTTGTGTTTGAATAAGAAGATCAAGCTTATTATTGCAGTAAAATCCGGTGGGACTTGTCTGTGCAACGTGATTCCCGGGGCGGGTTACACAACGCGGTGTAGAGCGTCGTCTTCCAGAGACTCAGGTTGTTTCCTAAGGTAAAACAAACACGATTTTATATTTTCCAAAGTGAAAGTCCATTTTCCCCCTGGAAAATGGCTGTTGATCCTGGAAAAAGATGAAGCCCAGATTCTCCAAACCCTGTTAGTCCCTTTGGTACAGTAAGGTAGAACTACTGCCCAGCACACAGAGAAGAAAACAGATCCAGTCTCCTTTTCAAATAAAGATTTAGGATCGACATTACCTTTTACTATTTCCCCTTCTCCCTTCCTAAAAAGTCTTCAAGATATGCTGTTATCTACCTATAAAGAATTTACACTAAAAATGACATTTTTTAAATTTAAAATTTAAATGACATGTTCATTTTGTGATTTTTTTCTCCTTAGAGTTCTACAACATTAAGAGTTAAATTTTTATTCTCCACATACCCTGTAAAAGAGACATCAAAAGTCCTTTTGTAGGTGGGAAGAGCTGGATGTCCCCTTCAGGTTGGGATGTATGTGTGCATATATATATGCAAATATATGCAGATTTTCCCCAAGAGGGCTTTTCCACGACCAAGAAGGTGACATCTTTACCATGCATGTTTTAATCCTTCCCCCCACCCCAATGCTGAAGAAGCCCTGCTGTAATTTGCTTTCTTCTGCCTGTAAGGGTGATGACTCAATTACAGAGGCAAGACCAGGGAGGAACAATAGCTTTGGTTATCTATAATGAGCGGTCCAATAACCATCAAACCAGTGAGTTCTCTCAGCCCAAGGCTGGGGCCTCTGTGTGGAACGCAAAGGGCACTTTTCTCTCTCTTTTTTTTTTTTTTAACTTTTATTTTAGGTTCAGGGGTACATGTGCAGGTTTGTTATACAGGCCAACTCATGTCACGGGGGTTTGTTGTACAGATTATTTAGTCACCCAGGTACTAAGCCTAGGACCAATTCAACATTAACTTTCCATTTTCCACTCCCTTACCCCCTGGTAACCACCGTTCCGCTGTTGTCTCTAGACACCTCATGTAAGTAGAGTCACATAGTATTTTTCCTTATATGACTGACTTATTTCACTTAACATAATGTATTAAAGGATCATCCATGTTGAGGCATGTGTCAGAATATCCTTTTTTTCTTAAGGCTGCATAATATTTTATTGTATGTAAACCACATTTTATCTATTCACCCATCCATGGACACTTGGGTTGCGTCTACCTTTTGGCCATTGTGAAGGATGCTGCTGTGAACCTGGGTATACAATTATCTGCGTGAGTTCCTTTCAATTATTTCAAGAGAAGTCATGCTTTCAATTATTTTGGATAAATATCCAGAAGTAGGATTGGTGGATATATGGTAATTCTGTTTCATTTTTTTGAGGACCCACCATACTGCTTTCCATAGAGGCTGTGCCATTTGTTTTTTCTAGAGATGGGGTCTCCCTCTGTAGCTCAGGCTGGAGTGCAGCGGTGAAATCACAGCTCACTGTCACCTCAAACTCCCGGGCTCAAGGAATCCACCCACCTCAGCCTCTCCCCGAGTAGCTGGGGCTACAGGTGCATGCCATCACACTTGGCAAAAAAAATAAAAAATGATTTGCAGAGATGGGTCTCACCATCTTGCCCGGGCTGATCTGAAACTCCTGGACTCAAGCAATCCCACCTGAGACTCCCAAAGTGCTGGGATTATAGACATGAGCCACCATGTCCAGCTGAGGCTGTGCCATTCTAACACTCCTGGTGGCTCAGGTCTTTGTAAGAGGTGAGCCCGAAAAAGACATAAATTTTATTATTTGATTTTCTAAAGACTTACTGATGCTGGACACGGTACCTTGTTTCTACCTTAGGCTCTCCTTCTACAGAGGGAAGATGGCGGTTACTATCTCTCTCAGGAAAACAAGGAACTATGACAAGTGTTGTTGAGATAGGCTGGGAGAAATTTAGTTCAAAATATGGTATACGTCCGGGCGTGGTGGCTCACGCCTATAATCCCAGCACTTTCAGAGACCAAGGCAGATGGATCACCTGAGGTCAGGAGTCCGAGACCAGCCTGGCCAATATGGTGAAACCCCATCTCTCCTGGCGGGGCGCGGTGGCTCAAGCCTGTAATCCCAGCACTTTGGCTGATGCCGGAGGGCGGTATCAGAGGTCAGGCAGATCGAGACCATCCTGGCTAACCGGTGAAACCCGTCTCTACTAAAAAAATCAAAAACTAGCCGGGCGAGGTGGCGGGCACCGTGAGTCCCAGCTACTCGGGAGGCTGAGGCAGGAGAATGGCGGGACCCGGGAGGCGGAGCTTGCAGTGGAGCTGAGTCCCGCCACTGCACTCCAGCCTGGGCACACGAGCAGACTCGTCTCAAAAAAAAAAAAAAAAAAAAACCCCATCTCTCTAAAAAAAAAAAAAAAAAGCCGTGTGTGGTGGTGCACAGCTGAGGCAGGAGAACTTGAACCCAGGAGGCAGAGGTTGCAGTGAACCGAGATCGCGCCACTGCACTCCAGCCTGGGTGACAGAGTGAGACTCCATCTCAAAAAAAAAAAAATACAGTATACCCTCACCCTAAGTTTCGGGGTCAGAGACTGTGCTGTCACTTCCTCCAGCATGAACTGTGTCCCTCCTTCCAATGCATAGGTCAGGGTTAGGGATGGCCATGGAGCCACTTTTGGGGGACTAAATTCTGATATCTGAATTGCTCATTAGACGTGAATGTCAAGGACCTTCACTGAGGCAATGCTGCTTTTATAAAATACCATCCTTAGCCAGCAGACATATCTTGCCTGCGTTTCTGACTTCTGTGTCAGCTCACCATCTTCCTTTTCCTTTGGTGTGGGCTACGGGTCTAGAGAGAAGAGGAACCACTGAATGTCTGTCAAAATCCAGCCAAGATTTCACTAAGAATATGCAGGCTGCATCCTTTCTATCAGTCTCCCCCTTCCCGACCTCCTGGCCAGCACTGACTCAGGATAGCAGAGGCTCTGCCAATTTCAGGGCTTGCTTTTGCTCTCTGTTCACAGACACACGTTAGGCCCTGTCAAAGCAGGGGAGGCCCCACACCTCTCTCTCACGAGGCACATAAGCAGTATTGGCATGCTGTCCTTTGGAAGGTTGCCCACAACTGTCCCTCGACCCTCTGGCACTTTGGACAGGCTGGCTTTTGGGGCAGCACCTGCCAGAGTCTCTGGAGTGTCCTCCAAGGCTGACTGTGGAGAAATAGGGAAGGGGAAGGTGTTGGCGCTCAGGCTGGAACTGTGCAATGTTTTGATCAAAGTTCACAGAGTAATCACTCCAGAGTCGCTCTGCTGTGTTTTTAGTCATGCTGACAGCAGCAAAGTGGCTTCTACACAAAGGCTTCTCTTGGTGCAGGATCTGAAACAGGGCTGGAGGGGGAGAACTCCTTGGTGCCAACTTACGAGGTTTCTTTTTTTTTTTTTTTTTTTTTTAGATGGAGTCTCGCTCTGTCGCCCAGGCTGGAGTGCAGTGGCCAGATCTCAGCTCACTGCAAGCTCAAACTCCCTCATAAGGAAGAGAAATTTTGGCTTTCTACTAAACCTCGCCCGGCTAATTTTTTGTGTTTTTAGTAGAGACGGGGTTTCGCTGTAGCCAGGATGGTCTCGATCTCCTGACCTTGTGATCCGCCCGTCTCGGCCTCCCAAAGTGCTGGGATTACAGGCTTGAGCCACCGCGCCCGGCCAACTTACGAGGTTTCTAAGAAAAAGATCACACCCGTATCTCCCAACAAAGGTTCAACTCTTGTTTCCGAAGCATCTGCTGCTAAATTAATTAGTCCTTAGTGGCCAGGAGAGAAGGGCCTTTGGTCATTGCAGCCATGTGGGTAATGCCCCACTGTCCCCACTCTCCCAGCCCCACCAAGGTAATGCCCTACTACCCCCACTCTCCCAACCCCACCAGGCCCCAGGGTTTGGCCTCTTGGAGGTGACTTACCCTTCTGGAGTGAGGCTGCACAAGGGGAGGGCCCCCTCTCTCTCAGTCACTCTTGTATCCCTGGCACCTGCAGTCGTGCCCTGCAGAGAAGACATTCAATCAATATTTGTAGAATGAGTGAATCCATCACTGCAATCTTCTGTCCTGGACTGAGAATGGGCTTGCCTTCTCTTTAGAGGATAGGAACTGATGGCCTCAATGGAAAAGAGACAGATTCTCTCTATGTTGCCCAGGCTGGTCTCGAACTCCTGGGCTCAAGTGATCCTCCCACGTTGGCCTCCCAAAGTGTTGGGATTACAGGCATGAGCCACCGTGCCTGGCCTTCTCACCTATTAAGAAAGAGATTTTGCAGTAGGTTATGGGAAATTCTAGATGGAGTAGTGGCACAGGAGCTGGGCTTGATGTGAAGGAAAAAGTTCCCAGGAAGCATGATAGGAGAAATGGAGACAGCAAGTTTCAGATGTGCTCTGCCTTGATTTTATGACAACATACAATAGAATAGGGCATGTTACAATAAACTACAAATAATATTCCACACTTTTTTTTTTTCTTTTGAGACGGAGTTTTCACTCTTGTTGCCCAGGCTGGAGTGCAGTGGTGCAATCTCGGCTCACTGCAACCTCCGCCTCCAAGGTTCAATTGATTCTCCTGCCTCAGCCTCCCAAGTAGCTAGGATTACAGGTGCACACCACTACGCCCAGCTAATTTTTTTGTATTTTTAGTAGAGATGGGGTGTCACCATGTTGGCCAGGCTGGTCTTAAACTCCTGACCTCAGGTGATCTGCCCACCTTGGCCTCCCAAAGTGCTGGGATTACAGGCATGAGCCACCTCGCCCAGCCAAGAATATTTCACATTTATATAAAGCATGTACTAAATAACTCTAAGTAAACAGGGTCCATAACTTGTTAGTTTGAATGCAGGGTAAAAATAAAACACAAATAAATAAAACAAAATAAATAAACAGGATATTTTGAGTTGCTAGAAAAGAAAGAAAACCCTCATTTGGAAAAACCACAGGACTCCTTGGAAGAAGTTAAGCTGGCGGTTAGGATGCGATCAAATTGTTGTCTGTATTAACAGCTGACAGGTGCTGTGAGTAATACTCTGATCAACCCATAAACCCAAAAGCAGATCAGATGTGGGAGAGTTCGCCTTCAGCTTCCCAGCAAACTTGTCTCCTGCTTCAACCGAGTCAGACCCGGGCTGAGCCTGCAATGAAGAGCCTCAGGTCAGAGTCCAAAAAGTCATTAGGAAAAACATACGAATGGTAAAGCCACAAATGAAGATACCACCTAACTTCTCCACCTAGCGCCTCATGTAATTGTCATGCTACAGGAAAGAGCGCTTGTTTACCTCTGGCGTAAAATTTGTTGGGTGCGGTGGCTCATGCCTATGATCCCAACGCTTTGGGAGCCCAAGGTGGGCAGATCATGAGGTCAAGAGATGGAGACCATCCTGGCCAACATGGTGAAACCCTGTCTCTACTAAAAATACAAACATTAGCCAGGCATGGTGGTGGGCGCCGGTAGTCCCAGCTATTTGGGAGGCTGAGGCAGAAGAATCACTTGAACCCAGGAGGTGGAAGTTGCAGTGAGCCAAGATTGTGCCACAGAGCGAGAGTCCATCTCAAAAAAAAAAAATAAAAAATCATGTACATACACTCAGAGAACAAGACAGGCTACTTTGATCCAAGACTATCTAGAAAAATTTCAGGCTGTGTGTAGCCCTTTTCACGGGCTCGCCGTTGATGACCACTGCAGCCTAATTGTGAAACTTACCCAGGTTCATATATTTTTGAGGGTACACAGGGTAGTGGTTCATCCGCAAATCTAAATCCCAGTTGTTGCATTCAATTCAATTCAAACCACACATTGAGTACCTAAATGTAAAATATTGAGCAGCGTGCTCTGAGGAATAGAAAAATGAAAAAGAGATGGCCTTGTCACTCAGACACTCAAATCATCAAGTCGTGGGGAGGCTGCCAGGCACAGGTACACAACTAACTCTAATTCAAGGCAGACAGCCCCAAGTGACACACAGAGGTATAAAAAGAAAATGCACTGGGAATGTGACGGTCTGAGGGATTCATTCCTGCAGGAGACAGGGGAGGAAATGGGAAGGGCTGCCCTCGTGCTGAGCGTGCTGAGCGCAGGGACTGGGGGAAATCAGCTTCATGATTAGTCACTGATAGCACCTGACCTACCGGGCTTTTGAGGGCAGTTTAAAGTATTTACACTTCATTTAGGCCCAGAAAGAAAATGAGTGCTCTCCGTCCAACACTGGAGGATAAAACTCCACAGGTGGAGAGCTTGGCTGAGGTCTCAAAAAGACGGGCCAAAACCCAGGCAAGAGAAGGATGGTGGCCTGAGCTCAGGTCCGCGCGCTGCCTGGGTTTCTATTCATCTCCGCAATCACAGACCTTTCAGGGGCCTTCCTCCACACTGCAAATGGACCTGTCCTTGAACAAACTAATGAATGCTAATGTGTTAGGAGAGGTTAATAGATTGTAGGCCTGCAAGCCCCTCGAGGCAGGTACTTGGATTTGATGGTAGAATTTCAGTGCACAGAGTGGTGAGGGAATCGTTTTAAGCAGTTTCTGTTCTCCTCTCATATGAAGGAGGCCATCTCCTTTGCTTGCATGGAGAGCTGTCTCCGAAGTGGAAAATTCTCCCAGCATGGCTGTGTCCTATGCAGCCACTAGCATAAAAGCATTCCTCCACCCCTTTAAAAAGCAGGCCAGCTGGGCACGGTGGCCTGCGCCTGCAGTCCCAGCTCCTTGAGAGGCTGAGACAGAAGAATCATTTGACTGCCCGAGTTTGAGAACTGCCTGGGCAACATAGTAAGACCCTTGTTAAAAAAAAAAAGTCAGGCGTACAATGTCGCTGGGGCACAGAGGCAGCCATGAGAAAATCTACAAATGAAAGCCCCCACACAGTTGGCCTAACCCTATTCATGATCCCACTTCTTCAATGCAAGAGACTAGCACCTTTCTCCACTGCAGTCATGGCCAAGTTTAATGAGTTAGGAGCTACTTGGGGGCCGTTTTGACACCACCAGAGCTGACAGAGATGGTCACAGCACTGAAATATGGAGAATTTGAAGAATGTAGGACAAACTGGGAGAGCGATAATGACCATGCGACAGGGTAGCTGGCTTCAGATGTGGATTTGGAGCATTTCCAGCTCAGCTTGTTCCAGGTCCTCAATATTCACCAAGTAATCTGACTTGACTTGTTTCCCAAATAGGCTCCTCTACCAGAAAGAATTATTTATTCATTGAACAAATATATTGATCCCCTACTATCAGCCAGAATGATTGAATATAGTTTAGTGGGAGGGGTAGATAAAGCCATGCTGGGAGGCCTCCATGTGGTCTGTGCTGTATTGGAGGGAAGCCCAGGGTGTGATGGGGCGTGGCACAGACGTCCCATCCAGAAGGTGGGTGAGGAAAGCTGCTCCTGGGAGATGACTGAATATTGAGGGAAGAATATATTAATATTATAATTCAGGAGATGAAGTGAAAGAAGGCATCCCAGAACAAGGGATCCATGTGGATGAAAGATTTGGAGGGTGAAGCAAAATAAAATGTCTCCTGCCTTAAATGAAGACATTGAATTTCCTTTGTGTCTTGAAGGTTTGACTGCACGAGTTGGTTGTCATCCCAGGACCACATCATCCATCCTAGAACCACTAAATCTCAAAGTTGCAGCCTAGAAGAAGTAGGAAACCAATCCTTGGAATTCCAAAATGTAGCCACGACTTGCCTTCGACCCCATCTGGAATAAAAAGGTGCAGGCTGCCTGGTATAGCTGCAAAGTAGGGAGTGGCCAGTGCTCGGGCGAGAAAGGACGGCTGAAGACCAATTTCAAAAGGCCCCCTGGGCCATGCCAGCAAGTTGCCACAGGTCTCCTAAGCACAGATGTGTCTGTTTAGCAACTTGTTCATTATCAACGTGATGCAGAAGGGCCGCGTTTAAGCCAAATAGACATTGTTGAAAGTGGTGATTTGCCAACCATTCTTGACCCCACACTTACAGAACAGTGAATCAGGAGGCAGTTGGGGGAAGATACTAGTACTAAAACCCCTGGAAATGACAGATGGCTACCCCTCACCTCATCGGCTTTCATCTAAATTAATGGAAAATGGCTTCTCACTCCCATTGTCTCTTAAAATGACGCGTTTGCTCCCTTATGCACCTAAGGTTGGAATCCCAGATGGGGAAGTGATATATCTCAGGTCGTGTTCAAGGGAGGAACTTGCTTCTCAAGTCTCAACTCCAAGATAAACATGCTGTTACTGCCATGCACTTAGCTTCCAAAAACACAGCCATGAGGAAAATGCTTCATGCAATGCGACGCCAGAGGTATAATTAAACTTCAAAAGGGTATCAATTGCATCACATTCAGGAAAAATGTAGAAAAATAAAAGTGGTACTGAAAGAAACCCTAAAACACCCCACCACCTACATTTATCTTGGGGAGAAGGAAAATAAACTGAGGTGATCTCCTGGGGCACCAGGTTTGCTCAAGTAGGGCTTCCGTGAACGCTGCACTGGAAAAGGTAGTTTCTTATGAGTGTGTCTTTTCCAAATCTAATCTTTACGAAAAGACCCATCCAGGATTTCAGTTCCCATCATGCCTCCAGAGCAAAAGGGGTAACAGTTGTGAAGATAGTTTGAACCACTTAAAAATCAAACTACGTAATAATCACATGCTAATATGATCAATGGCTTTTTTTTTTTTTTTTTTTTAGATCATGTTTGTTGGGAAAAGGTCAAGAGCAAGGGCTCTAGAGACAGATGACTTGTTTCAGACTGCTGCAGTCTTTTCTGCTCCCTGACCTTAGATAAATAAAACACCTAACCCTCTTGCAGCCTCAGTTTCACTGGCTGTAAAATAGAGGAGCTGTGGCAAGGCTGAAATGAGTCATTCCACAGAAAATTTGGGACTCATTGGCACATACTCAATAGCCAATAAATATTAACTCTGTTGCGATGATTCCCATGGAGAGCCAGGGTTTCAGACTCGGTCTGGAACACGCCAGTTTGCTTTGCAAAGACAAAGTCTGTCCCTTGGCTAAACTTTCTGCCCCTCACTTTGGCTAACACCTTCAAAAGGCATGTTTTTACGGGCCCTTGTGAGAGGGTGCAGACGAATCAACTAGTAAAAAATCAAGAAAGTCAGTGGCACCTCGTCCACATATGTAAGATAGCACTTGTACT